TTCAGTGCTTGTCTTATTGTATAACTTTCCATGTTGCCCCACTATTCTATATGTGCCATAAGGGTCGTTTTGCTTCTTTAATACAGTGTCCTTGACACCCACCATGGTGGCTGGCCCAGAGTAAGGGCACCAAAAATACTGCTGTATTAATGAATAAGAAAAAGGGAGGAAGGAAGAGATAGAGGGAAGGAGGAAAGCACAGGTTTTCATTATCAATATCATCAACAAATACTGAGTGGATTTAATCATTCTCTTGTTTTACAAAAATATTCACGTTTCTTTTTAAAATATTAAGATAAACATGTCAGAATTAATAATAATGTGAAACAATCACAACAGGAAATCTGGTTGAACATTGATAATAATGCCTGGAGAATTGTATAAAGCCTAAAATTCACTGATTTGCACAGAGCAGAGCAGCCAACCATGATGGCTCTATGCGAGACCTGGAAGTGACCCCACTGTGCCTCAGGAGTCTGTGGGTGGGTGCTACACAGTGGGTGAGTGTCACTACCTCAACTGGGTTGGTCCTTTTTATAGATTCTAGAAGAAAGAGCTTTGTTGTGGTTTCACTGGCAAAGTAACTTTGTTCTTAAAACCACAGTTAAAGGAGACTCATCTCTTTGCATGCACAGAGATTTGCTTCCAGGACCTCCCACTAACCCCAAGCTCCATGAATGCTCAAGTCCTTTATGTCAAGTGCAGAGAATGTGCACATAACCTACGCAAGTATTCCCATCTTTAAATCATCTCTACATCATTTATGATACCAAATACGGTGTGAATACTGCACAAATGATTACTGTTAGGGAATAACTAGGTTAAAAAGGTCTGCACATGTTCAGCACAGATGTAATTTCTTTCTGAATATTTTCAAACCACAGCTGGGTAAATCCAAGCATGTGGAACTAACGGATGCAGAGGGCCAACTGTATGTATGTTTTAAAATGAAGGAAATAGTTTTAAAGGAATATTTGGAGCTAGAAGACCAATGAAGGCATAAGATCACTATATTTGGGACCATGTTGTTAAAATAATTGTGTTAATAAGCAAGTAAACTTCTTACACATTATTTTTTGTACTCTGTTAAGGAGAAACAATGCTGAATTAAGAAGGAGATTAATAAGTACTGGTGATGATAAACTAAAGTTGAAATGCCTCCAAATATCTCAAGAGTCATTTAATTTTACGTAGCTTCCTAAACTATGTCTGAATTTTCAGAATAGCTCTTTGTGATTTTTAAAACATTATGGATAACCTAAGAGAGGGGTAGCATTTGTAGACATGAGTTTGAGGTGGAGACAGATTCTGCAAATTACTGACAGATGACTTTGATGCTAAGACATGGCATGAAAGTGGATCCTTAAAGGGACAGTGTGGGAAGAAGGAGGGACCAAGAGAAGCCAGTGTGGGCGTGGATCGGCCTCAAATGGGTATACTGCAGACGTGATGTGTATGGATCTGAGCTATAGTAAAGGTGATCTGAGGAGTTGCAGGATAGTTTTGGAGGACGATAAAGGAGTTTATTTAATACATATTTCTGTGCAGCTAAGACTTGCACAGAGCGTGACCATGTCCATCTGAGGGCATGTTTCCAGACCTTACGGCTCCCGTGACGGTCCTGTGACTGTCATATTCTGGAAATACTGTCAGTACCTTTAAGGGAAATCTCTAGAGCAGAGGTTAGAGATTTTTTTTTTCTGTAAAAACCCAGATATCAAATGTTTCAATCTCTGAGCCATATCCAAGTTTCTAATATATAATTTTCTTAAAAATTAAAATGTCATACCCATCTTTAGGTCAAGAACTATATAAAATATGTGGTAAGTCAATTCCTCTAACCCTTCTTCTGGAGCAGATCAAACTTGTGGATGATGTGAGAGGACACAGAGAATCACAGTCCATCAAGCAGCCTGGAGGATGGTGGCACACCAGAACTGCAGGGGCCCTGAAACCTAGAGATGAGATCATCTGGTCAAAACCTCTTTACCTACGCACTATCAATCTGCCATCCTAGGATTGTGGGTTGGCAGAAATACAGAGAAATAAATGCATGCCTTTTTATGTGAGACCCAAAACTCCCAATTATATTAGTATATGGTGGGTATTACAGCTTAACAGCAAGAATGGCATTTCAGCCAAGAGTAGGCCAAATAGGGTGAAGAGTGTGATGTGACTCCAAATTCTACTATCCAGAATAAGGCAGCGCCACTCAACTGTTTGCCTTGGAGTTTTACGTTAACAGTCACTGCGTGAGGAAGGCTGAAGAGATTGGAGGTGTTTTAAGCTGGAGGACGCATATCATAGGATTTTAGAAACTGCAGAGCACAGTAATCCACAGGAAGTGAGAAGAGCTGGTTCTTAAGCCTTGACTGGGGTGGGGGGTGGAGGGTGGGCTGGGAGGGGAAGGGGGAAGGGGGAGGAGGAGGAGGAGGAGGAGGAGGAGGAGGAGGAGGAGGAGGAGGGAATCTTGCTGTAGCTGTTCACAGTGCCATAGCTGATGGGACTCTGGCTGGAATGCATTCAACTGTTTAATTCTCCCTTTAGGTCATAAAGTGTGAAATATTTAGCCAGAGGAAGGAACCACTGGTTTTCCTTAAGCAATAGCTTAACATCTCAAGGAAAAAGGCAAGTTAGGAGAGAAGCACTATCATCATAATCAGGCAAATAACATCCCCCATCCTTACACTGTGCTCACCTTTGTCTTCCCTTGCCTTCTCCGAATACAAGTTTCTCTCTGTAGACACAACACCTGTCCTCCCACTAAACCTACTCCTGTTTACCTATGACCACTCCTGACATAAAGATGCAATCCCTTTATCTTTGCTGTTATAAGAAACAGACCAATGATTTCTTCTGCAGTTCATGAAACTGTACATGTACCCTAGTTTACAGACTCTTGCCACACATCCTAAGAGAACAAGTTACAGTTCAAAATTATTTTTCTATGTGTGAATCCATCTTCTCCTATGCAGGTAGGGAAAATTTCACTCATTCATTCATTCTTTCTCTTTGCAAGCCATGTGAACCAAGTCCAGGAAATTTTCACAACCTATCCAAAACAACTAGCTAGATTGTGGCAGGTCCAGGATTAAGGCCAAGTCTTTGGAATTCTGAGCCTCTTCCAGATTTTGGGTTGAGGCTATACAGTCAAAAGGGCCTGCCAAGTGTGTTTTGTCATATGGTGACAGAAATTTTTTTTTTTTTTTACAACCTTTCTTATTTTTTTTTTTTTTTTATTCATATGTGCATACAAGGCTTGGGTCATTTCCTCCCCCCTGCCCCCACCCCCTCCCTTACCACCCACTCTGCCCCCTCCCTCTCCCCCCTACCCCCTCAATACCCAGCAGAAACTATTTTGCCCTTATCTCTAATTTTGTTGTAGAGAGAGTATAAGCAATAATAGGAAGGAACAAGGGTTTTTGCTGGTTGAGATAAGGATAGCTATACAGGGAGTTGACTCACATTAATTTCCAGTGCATGTGTGTTACCTTCTAGGTTAATTCTTTTTGATCTAACCTTTTCTCTAGTTCCTGGTCCCCTTTTCCTATTGGCCTCAGTTGCCTTTACGGTATCTGCTTTAGTTTCTCTGCATTAAGGGCAACAAATGCTAGCTAATTTTTTAGGTGTCTTACCTATCCTCACCCCTCCCTTGTGTGCTCTCGCTTTTATCACGTGCTCAAAGTCCAATCCCCTTGTTGTGTTTGCCCTTGATCTAATGTCCGCATAGGAGGGAGAACATACGATTTTTGGTCTTTTGGGCCAGGCTAACCTCACTCAGAATGAAGTTCTCCAATTCCATCCATTTACCAGCGAATGATAACATTTCATTCTTTTTCATGGCTGCATAAAATTCCATTGTATATAGATACATTTTCTTAATCCATTCATCAGTGGTGGGGCATCTTGGCTGTTTCCATAACTTGGCTATTGTGAATAGTGCCGCAATAAACATGGGTGTGCAGGTGCCTCTGGAGTAACCTGTGTCACAGTCTTTTGGGTATATCCCCAAGAGTGGTATTGCTGGATCAAATGGTAGATCAATGTTTAGCTTTTTAAGTAGCCTCCAAATTTTTTTCCAAAGTGGTTGTACTAGTTTACATTCCCACCAACAGTGTAAGAGGGTTCCTTTTTCCCTGCATCCTTGCCAACACCTGTTTTGGTGGTGTTGCTAATGATGGCTGTTCTAATAGGGGTGAGGTGGAATCTTAGTGTGGTTTTAATTTGCATTTCCTTTATTGCTAGAGATGCTGAGCATTTTTTCATGTGTTTTTTGGCCATTTGAATTTTTTCTTTTGAGAAAGTTCTGTTTAGTTCACTTGCTCATTTCTTTATTGGCTCATTAGTTTTGGGAGAATTTAGTTTTTTAAGTTCCCTATATATTCTGGTTATCAGTACTTTGTCTGATGTGTAGCTGGCAAATATTTTCTCCCACTCTGTGGGTGTTCTCTTCAGTTTAGAGACTATTTCTTTTGATGAACAGAAGCTTTTTAGTTTTATGAGGTCCCATTTATCTAAGCTATCTCTTAGTTGCTGTGCTGCTGGGGTTTTGTTGAGAAAGTTCTTACCTATACCTACTAACTCCAGAGTAGTTCCTACTCTTTCATGTATCAACTTTAGAGTTTGTGGTCTGATATTAAGATCCTTGATCCATTTTGAGTTAATATTGGTATAGGGTGATATACATGGATCTAGTTTCAGTTTTTTGCAGACTGCTAACCAGTTTTGGTGACAGAATTTTTAACAGCACACGACACAGGATAAGTTTGCTAAGTTCTCATGGATAGAAATAACATAAGGAACAAGATGGTGTCCAAAATGACAGATCTGAGAATTCTTTCTATAGATACTTTGAATCCTCTTCATTTTTTTACCCTCTATTCTTCTATTTCAACCCATTGTGAAATTCCTAGAGCAACTTTCCTAGAAGTCCTAACATTTGCAAAAAAAAAAACTTCAGCAGATCAAGTTCACAGGGTGTCGCCATCCCTTCTACAGACCTGCATTTGCTGGTATGGTGGGTGAGCAGTTCTCCTTTGTGCAAGCTCCGATCATGGAAGGCAAGGTCATAGTAGGAACTCCATGGTTACCTAGGAAGACACAAGCAGATGGGCAGAGGCAAGGATATAAATGACAACACTGTGCATTCAGTCATCAAGATGCCTAAATCAAATGTGCTCAGACTCCAACTCTGCTGTACTACTAAAGCATTTGAGTTAGTCAGTCTGGAACTCTGAATACAGTTCTGCCTATTGAAGCAATATTATAAATGGAGAATAGATTCATATGCCAACCCACTAAAAGCCTTTTATACATTTTTAAGTGAATGAGATAAATTATTAATAATATGTAGACCTTAACCACCATGTGTAACAGGGCTTCTATAGTCATATAGATTCAGGGCTGACCTGGGATGCCTGGAACACATCCCCCAATGGATTGGCAGTCCCTAAACCCTCAGCCACTGGTCCCTACAGCTGGGGACTATACAGGTGGGGACTATAGGTGGTGGCAGTTCTAACAGTGAAGTATGGGCTCCTGTGGACAGGGCATAAAATGTCCTGGGGCAGGAAGACTCTTCTGCCAATCCCTGCTCAGGATGTCTCCTGTCATCCATGGAAATCCATCTGCTTCCTGGCTCATCACTTGTTTCCCTGGCCCAAAATGGAAGAGAAAACAGTAACCCTCCTCTTCATCTGAAAGACAGTTTTATTTAAAATATTCTCTTTGACTAGAAGCTGAGATGAGGGCTGAAGTGGCAAACTGGAATTGGATCTCAGAGGAAAGGGGGGAGGAGGAGGACAGGGAGGGCACAGTCAGTCACACAAGTGCTGCAGTTGCAGGAGCTGGGCTCTCTTTGGGAAGGGAGGCCACAGATGCTCCATCTCTCCCTGCCCATGGGTAGGCACTTTACCCTGATCATAAAGTGGGCTGGGTCAGGGCTCAGTGAGCAAGGAGAGGTGGTTTCTGAGTGAGCTTTGGAGGCTATCCCCCTGATGACTATTTACCATTTAGGAAGCAAGGCTCTGAGTCGAGGTTTTAGAGAACTGACAGTCAATTAGGGGACACACAGAGGTACAGACATAATTGCAGTTGAATGGAGAAAGTGTAGAAGAGGGAGAAGGGATTTTAGAAGGAACAGAGAACAGCTGTTTGGAGAAGGAGCCCTCTAAAGGACTCATGGGAATCTATGCATGCGCAGGGAGCGAGGGGTAATTCCAGGTGCACTTTGCTTGACAAAAGGCACAGGTTGGTAAAGGCACTAGGCAGGCTGAGTGACCCGAGCTACCAGACCAGCCACTTTCCACCAGGCATCCTCCAGCCAGAGCAGATCCCATGACATAGTCAGAGCTGTGGTCAGATGGGTAATCCAGACAGGTGGAAGAAAGGCTGTGGGCTGTGAAGCCACACAGGTGGCTTCTGAAGATTCTGGGTGAGTGGAAATGAGGGTGAGGAACAGGAGGGGTCACTGGAATGGTGAGGGTGCCAGTAACCCCTCCTGTTGCCTGCTTTCTTTCCTTGGGCTTTTCTACAGACTCCCCTGGACACACTCAAGTGGAGGCTTCTTGTTGCCTGTGGTCCCAGAGGCAGGATCCACATTCTCCTAAATGCCCAACGCCATTTGCAAATTATGTGTCTACCTCCATGTGCCTGTGACATGCTTGCAACCAAGCACTCACCTTCCTGCCTCCCCTCTGCTCTCACTCACTGGTTTCTGAACTGGGTCAGAAGACTGAAGAATTGCATGCTTCTTCTGCAGCCCAGTTCCAGCTCCTATCTGCTTGTGTTTCCTCAACAATTCCACTTAATACAGTCCACTTTGTGAGTAAATAGTATTCAACCTGAAAGGATGACCCTTATGCCCATCAACCAGCAGAGATTCTGCTGTAGTTGAACAGCCCACCAGAGCCTGTGTTAGACACTATGAAGTATTAAGAGGTGGGAGCAGGTGGGGCCTTTGGGAAGTAAGTAAGTCACGGGGCTCTATCCTTGTAGATGGATTAATCCAATCACAGACCAATGGGTGATCTCAAGAGTGGCTCTGTCTCACAAGGTGATGCCCTTGTGCATGTCATGATGCCTTTACTAGATGCCAAGCAGGTGCTAGCACAGTGCTCTTGGTCTTCAGTCTTCAGAACCTCTGTTCTTTATAAATCACCCAGTCTCAAGTCATCTGTTACAGAAACAGAAAACAGACTATGGCATTGGTAGTGAATTAGAAATATGAAAGCAATGGGGTGTGCTTCCGGGGCATCTCATGTGTGTTTTCAATCTCAAACACAAAACCTCTCAATCTGGTAAGAATCAAAGAGTTTAACTTTGTTAGCTGTTCCTGCATGTTACATTTTCATAATATTTACAAAAGCTTTACTGAACAGCTTTCTATACAAATGTGCATACATATTTTTGGTAAAGAGCTTGAAAATTTGGCTTTGTGTTGCCTATACTTTTCTATTTCTACAGAAAAATATTTACATTTGTAGCATAACACCACTTTCCTTTTTAAATAATGCAAAGTATTTACTGTTTCCTTCATTAAACAGTAACTACTGTACATACACTGAATTCATATACGTTCTAGAAGTGTTCTGATTGAGTAGCTCCATGTGATCGTGATCACGTCTTAATCTAGCAAGTAATTGTTGAGAGCCAGCAGTTTATGGTTCACAGTTCAGTGAGAGTGGAGCTTTGGTGTTATTTATACTACGAGTTGCCCTCCAAATATGTAAAACCTGTTGTTATGGTTTGGATCTTAAGAGTCTCCCAAGGCCATGTGTTCAAGTCTGAGTCTCCAGCCTGCGATGATGTTGGCAGGTGTTGGAACCTTTAGGAGGTGGAGCCTAGTGGGAGGATGTGAGGTCATGGGGGCATGGTCTTGAAGGGATGCTGGGACCTCAGCTCCTCCATCTTTCTCCCTTGCTGCCCACCCTGCACCGGGCAGGAAGCTTTGCACATCTTGTACTTCCTGCCATGATGTTTTGCTTTGCTACAGGCCCAAGGCAATGGGGCCAAGTGACCACGGACTGAACCTATGAGCCAAGATAAGCCATTTCTTTCTATTAAGATGATTTTCTCAGATATTTTATCATGGCAATGGAAAGCTGGTTAACACACCTTTAAAACTCTAGAAAAAGTAATATTCGAGGAAGAATAAGAAGGCAGTAACACCAAATATTTCACATTCCTGGGAACAAAGACTAATAATATATAGGTATGGAATTCAGATGGGTCCAGTTTAATGATGTTCAATCTGCATATTTGAGGTTTCTATTCTGTGCCTGGATCACTAGAGTTTACTGACAGATTTAAATGCTACACAGCTATCACATAGTCTAAGAAAGATCTAATCATGCATTGTCTATTAAATAATTAAGAAATACTTGTGCAAGGCAAGGAAGACTATCTTTCATATCTGTAATGGTATGAGGAGAGACCATGTGTCACTCTGTGGACTCCATACATCCCTGGTTGGTGGAATCACCCAGGAGAACTAGCAGCCAAATGCAGAACAGTGGTTTCTATTTGGCAAAGCAGGGCAGGGGTTTTACAAAGAAACTTAACCAAAACAATGAAAGGTAGGAAAGAGGAAAAATAAGTCACAATAAAGCATAGCAAATAAATTTAAAATGAGATGGAAAGAATAATCCCAACACCATGGGCATCACAGTGGGTATAAATGGTGGTGTCTAACCAGTCAAATGACAAAAGATCATATGAGGATTCTGGCTGTCACATACTGATAAATTTGGGTCTGTTAATCACAGTATTTTAAGTGTATCTTCTATACCAAATTTCTTCCTATCTAATGGTTTCCAAATCAATATATTTGTCACTTCCAATTAACTATAATGGCATTATACTGCACTCAAACACACATAGAGTAATAGTTGCTAACTAAGCTAGATATCATTGTTTGGACAGACAAGGGAAGAGGAGGAAGAGGGTTCCAAAGCTGCTGTCCTGCACTGGAGTTGTGGACAGTTTTTGGGAATGTGGTCAGCATTGTTGAAACTTCCTCATGAGGCAGAGGTGACGGTGCTTCTTGTATAAGTATTTCCTACACACACTGACAACTAAAATGCAACCTGAGGAAGTTTCACATTCATGACTCCAGTAGTCAACAAGAGCATGTTTTCACAGGAATGGAAGGGAACTGTTTCTCCATCAGTGTCTCTCTGTAATCCTACAAGTGAGTCACATGGAGAAGCTCAGTTAGTGGTAATAGCAGTACCTGTCGCTGGAGTTCTGTTTTTCAGCCTGTCCACTTCCATTGTGAAGTCATCTTTCAAAAACAGGAACCCGATAATGGAAAACAGGTAAACCAGGATGAGAGCCAGGACGGCAGTTAGAATAATAGAGCGGCCATTCCGTGTGACGCTTTTTATGACATTGAGCAGAGTCTCCTCTCTGTACACCAAATCAAAAAGCTATGAAACAAAGAGATAAAACCAGGGGAAAATGCAACTGAGCAAAAGATGAATAAACAATGATAATTACAAAGGTAAGTCATTCTAGTTAGTCTAAGGAAAAGTAAACTAACCATTTCAAAATGAATGAAAACAGCCACTGCTTCTGCAGTGGGAGGACCCTACCAAACAGTTCTTAGTAAAAGTAAGTCTTGACACAGCAGATAATTTGCATCTGTTGGTTTCACAACCAATACAACTTACTAAGACATTAGGGAAATAGTACACTTTCATTCGAATTTAGAAAAATTATGGTGTTTGGTCCACCAAGTTGATGAATTGACAAGTTCATTCAATGTACTTTAATCAAGGAAATAGAGGTGAAATTAGAACATTTTATGAATCTGATATCAGAAAAAAGGTATGAAATTAAAAAATATTTGTGAAATGCAAATGTAATTCCTTACTAAAGAGCCATACTAATGAGGATAAAATTTATTACTTTAGCATATATATTTTTTCTTTTATTCATATGTGCATACAATGTTTGGGTCATTTCTCCCCCCTTTCCCCCACCCCCTCCTTTACCTCCACTGCCTCCTCCTTCTCCCCCACTACCCCTCGCTACCAGGTAGAAACTATTTTGCCCTTATCTCTAATTTTGTTGTAGAGAGAATATAAGCAATAATAGGAAGGAACAAGGGTTTTTGCTATTTGAGATAAGGATAGCTATACAGGGTGTTGACATGCATTGCTTTCCTGTGCATATGTGTTACCTTCTAAATTAATTCTTCTTGAACTAACCTTTTCTCTAGTTCCTGGTTCCCTTCTCCTATTGGCCTCTGTCGCTTTAAAGTATCTGCATTAGTTTCTCTGCATTGAGGGCAACAAATACTTTAGCATATATTTTGGAAAGAGGAGTATAAAAGTGTAATACACAACTTTGCTAATCACTTTCTCCAGTGCATTATTATCACTTTGTCTTTCATGGTAGGAAGTCTATGCACTAGTGACGAGTATAGGCATGTGTCGGCTATCTGTGGCCAGCATTAGGAACAATTTTATTTATTGCTACATTAAGCAGTTGAAATTACACATTGTTAGGTTATGAAGAGTTGGTCAAAAGCATTCATTTTAAAAGGTATAAATATGTGTCTGAAAACGCATAATACCTTTACAATGCAATAACTGAGGTTTGTATCCTGCTGTCTGGGACAGAATCAGAATTCTTGAGCTGGCATAAATAGTCATGTGTCACACACCCTTTCAGAAACACTAAGGCCTGTTCTCTGTTCTTCTGAGTACTGAGGTTGTACAGTTACTTTCCAATCACTGTAGTCTTGCAAAGAATTGCTGTATGAACACTTTTTTGCTCACTTTAGGAAACTGATACCTTATGACAGTCCAATAAAGAAAGTTTAACTATTTTGCTGTTTCTCTCCTGGACTGGAAACAAAGTCCAGGGCTGGGCCTGTGGCTCAAGTGGTAGAGTGCCCACCTTATAAGTGCAAGGCTCCAAGTTCAAACCCCAGGACTACCAGAAATAAAGTCAACATTTTTCAGTGAAGACAACCTCCAGGTTGTCAATGCTCTGGCTTATTCAATTTATGTAGCCTTATGTTGTCATAAAGGAGATTTTCCTTTATTTTAACTCAAAGGTGTCACCATGACTGACGACCAGCTCTGGAGAAGGTCTGTGGCTCTCAGAGCTTCAAAATGGTGCCTCACAACCCACTTCCTGGCCTCATCCTATGCCACAGAACCAGCAAATGCAAAAGTGTTCATGTTGGGCAGGTTCACAATTATTGGGCACAAAGGGGAATTCATGTTCAGACTTTTAAAATATAAAAACATTTTAAAAATATGCTCAACTACGATTTTTGGCATTATGCATATTACAATTTCCTTTTTGTACACTAAACATAATAATGGGCTACTTTCTATTCAGAAATAGCCCAACAAGAACAAATTCCTATCAGTATCACAAGATTTGAAAGATTAATGATCACAGAAGATAAAAGGAGAAAATAGGATTACTATATAACATAACCGAAAAGTAACATTACTGCTAACAACTCATGTAATAATTTGAATACAACTTGGTTTGTAAATAACTTCTCTTGGCAACTTATCTACATCATTTCACGTGTTTTCACATTACATGTCTAATGGATCTTGATAGTCTAACATCACCCCACCCATTTTATTTTAAATAAGAAGGTTGGAATACACGACTTTAGACTAATCAAGTTATATACATTATATATAAATATGTACAGCTTTTGGCATCAATTGTATCTCAATAAATAGTTTAAACATAATAGAGCATGGCATGTCTTACTCAGATGAAAGTGCTGGCACAGAGGACTTCATATATCACAAAAATGGAATTGTTTTGGTGTATCAGGGAAGAGAAGAGTTCATTTGGATTGTTGGGACAGGACAAAATCTGGATGATCTAATTTACCTGCTGGAAGACAGGTTTGTATAAAATATAACAGACAAACTGCTTCTTCTTTTTGAGATAAAGGGACAAGTGGTATTTCATCCTTCCTACAGAGAATGCTGGCTAACTGGGAGCAGAGGAGGCTGGATTGGTCCTGGGAGACCTAAGCAAGTGGGTTGACAAAACGTTTTTACATCTTCAACTTGTGTTCAGAATCATTTCACTAAATAAAATTCTCTACTGCATGTTCACTGGAGATAGAAGTAAATTGTTCCAGGCTGTAATCCCAGCTATTTGGGAGGCAGAAATCAGAACTATTGTGGTACAAGTCTACCCTGAGCAAAAAATTAATAAAACTCCATCTCAACAAATAAGCCTGGCGCAGTGGGACATGCCTGTAACCCTAGATATGTGGAAGAGAAAGGCAGGAGAATCATGGTCAGGCTCACCCAGACAAAGCTGTGAGACCCTATGTGAAAAAATAACAAAGTAAAAAGGGCTGGAGTTGAGATATGGCTCAAGCGATAGAGCTCCTGCCCTGTACACCAGAGACCTTGAGTTCAAACTCCAGTAGTGCCCAAAACGAAAAAATGTAATTGTTTCCATGTGCATTGTAATACTAAGCTGGCAATGTTTTTTTTGGTGGGGGAAGCAGTACTGAGGTTTGAACCCAGACCTTGTGCTTGTTAGGCAAGCCTGATAGTGTTTTAAGTTTCAAAACTTTATCATCCTTTTATATTGACTCCTTCCCTGGTTTATGGTTATAAAACGGTACATATGTAGGAAGAATAACTGATGACCAGAAGAAAAAACTCCAGAAAAAGATATGCACGTGGGTGCACTCCCTGTTCCTAGAACTCAGGAGGCTGAGGCAGGAGGATTGTGAGTTGGAGGCCAGCCTGGGCTGCATAGTGAGATCCTATCTTAAAAAAACAAAATTAATAAAATGAAAAAGAAAAAAAGGAAGAAAAGAATCTGAAAAAAATCGAGGTAAAGCATTGAATACGTGTACATAAACTTAATGATAACAAACTATAAGACTGTACTCAACTCCCTCTAGTTGGCTTTTATTCCCCCTCACTTTGCTTGTATGCCCTTGTAATGATGAACATAATATGGGATCTTAAATAAAATACAGTTGTTTCAGGAACATGTGGTTTTTTTCCGCCATGTTATGCTGGAGAATCTTTAAATGCAAAGGGAAATATTATTTGGCTAAAATCAAAAGCAGCCGGGGTCAAGAGGTGGGTGACTGGTGCTTCTCAGAGAGGAAGCACAAACCTCTACCACCTATGTGGCTTCCCAGAGAAAAGAGACTAAACTTGATAGGAAATTCTAAAAATAGCCCAATTTGTCCTAAATGTTAGGTCCTGCTCTTAAAAAAAAAAAAAAGAAAGGCTGAGGTTTTGGCAGCCGCCTGGTGTCTCTCTCAGTGACAGCTCAGGAAGCCACTCACCAGGAAGCTGTAGAAGAACTCGTGGACGAAGAGGCCAAGTGTGCACACCAGGACGTACGCCACATGGTAGAGGAAGGCCATGTCCAGGACCACCGCTCGGTACCCACGGGTGAACGTGCCTCGGTTCCCAACAAAACTCACCAGAAATACGATTTTGTTACAAAGCTGGAGGGATGAAAACGTGAGATTTTTAATGCCTGAAACTCACATGCTTAGCAGGTCACAGAGCCTGTGATTTCCTTTGCAGTTTCTCACTGTGTGGTTTGTTAGCGTGACTTAACAACTGCAGATAAACAAAATGCAGGCAAAACCGGCATCCTTTGCGATCCCAGAAAAGAGAGAAGTGGGATTAGAAAACCTGATACATTTAAAGCCTCATAGCCATGTCCATCAACTATGGGCCCCAGTGGTTCCTTCTGAAAAACAGAAACAAAAGCTTCCCTCCTACCTGTCATCGGAGGACTGCAAGACAATGTGATGAAGCAATTACTATGACTCCTTAAATGTCACTTTTGTATCTTCCCATTAAAAATAACACATACTGGAAAATGCTTTCGTTACATTGGAAAAAAAGAGGAAAAGTAACTTTTTAGAAAATAGCTGGAGATCTGAATTTAATCACTTTTTAACTTGGATTTTCTTTGAGTATTGTTTTAGGCAAAGTCATTAGGTTCTTTTTACATTCATTTCTTATACATAGCAAATATAAATAAACTTAGGTATGTGGGTTAAAATACACAGAACACACTTTCTAATTCCTGTTGTATGATAATTATCCAATAAACGCTCTGAAGTGTTTACTATTCTCTGACCACAAAGTGTATTTACATGCTTGGTATATTTAATATTGCCTCCTATGGCATAATTTGAAAATGTAGAAATTTATACTGAGATTCTTAATAATGGCAATCCGTGCAATGATTTACAAAAACAGAAATCTGTTTCATTTAGGGTCTTGCGTTGTTTATAAAAGGAAGAAGATTTTCCCTGCTCCTATCAGGAAGAATGACAGAATTCGAGTCCAGTTTCTCTCCTCATTGTTCCCTGGGTTCTTTCCATCATCTAATGGAACCACATTTGTCTTTAAATGTCCAAACGCCACTTTAGACAAATGAGGTGCTCTTTGTATGACTGTTTATTTTTAAACACACACACACACACACACACACACACACACACACACACACACTCTTTGAGGCACGTGTCCACTTCCTTTCAACATCCTGAAGTCCACATCAGTTAGATGAAATGACAAATGGGTTAAAACTATCTGTTGCCAAGGTCAACAGAATGGATAACCCAGCAACTGCAAGGGACACACCTTTGCTACCTCCCCAGCTGCCTTCTTCCTCTCAGTAGTCATTCTCAGCTGGTAATAATATTTCAACATCAATCAGAAAGTCTTATTTCAGTAGTTAGTGTTTCATCATCAAAAGTTTACACTATTATAGATATGGCTAAGATATAATGGAGTCTTTACAGTCACTGTTCAAGAGCAGGTTTGATATTAAAAGAAAACTATTTAAATATCAAGGAACTATACATCAGGTGCTGATCCACATGAAGTAGTGACAGTAAACTGAATCTGTGAAAACAGTGAGAAGTTGAATGCCTGGCAGAGTGACATTCAGTGGTGCACTCTTCAAATGGTTTTGAGGTTATCGTTTAAATCGGCACATATATCTTGGTTTACCCACCACAGTTCATCAATATGATGCAGAAGCAAGTTCTATGAAAAAAAAATTAAGACTAGACTCAGGACTTCTCAGAAGAATGAATGACAGGATGACAGCAAGATACAAGTTGTTTTCCTAGAGCACTTTGATGAAAGCTGGGGATATTTATGGGGATAAAGACGGTGCAGAAGCATCCCCCTTTCCATGTCATGACTCAGCTGATGTCTTCTGACCAGCCTTACTTGTGGACAGTATCATGGAGGCCACCATTCCTGTGCAAGCGTCCAAGCAGAGAACAGGAAATGAAAGGTGAGGGAAGATGGCTGGAGACCATGAACCCGCACCGGCCTGAAGTACATGAACAATCACACGCAAATACCAGCATAAATAACCGTATGGTCTTTCTTTCTCCATTATCTTGGCAGTACTCAGGTTCTGAACTCAGGGTTTTGCGCTTGCTAGGTGACTGCTCTATGCTTGAACCACGCCCCCAGCCTGGGCCTCAAGCTTATTGCCTGGCTGGCCTTGGAGGGCGATCCTCCTACTTATGTCTCCCTTACTAGAAGTACAGATCACAGATTTGGGCCTATCACTCTTTCTTAGCCATCCTCCTCTCTTCCCTTCTTTAACTATTTTGTGTGACCATAGAACTTTATAGCCGGTGTATCTCTGTCTTTGTATTTTTTGTTCTTATTCAGTACTCTGTTCCTGATCAGGAATTCTATCCCCATCATACATTGTTCCTATGGGAAAACATGGCCTGTTTTCCAGGAATAAACTGCATAGGGAAAAAAATACCATCTACTTATTTCTTGAAAGGTAAAACTGAATTTATTATCTTCAACTACATCACTATGTAAATAAATCAACCATCTTATCGAAAATGAGATGATCTGATTCCGAAATCTCTACTCAGTAGGGGGTTACATGTCGGGCAGGATAAGGTTTTAAGGCCAACATGTAAGGAAAATTTGCATGCAGTGATTTCCGTGATCACCACAGAACTCTTTGAATTAACCAGCAACACCATAAATCCGGGTGGTGTGCACAGTAAAGCCACATCCAACACAGCCCGGCAGCAGCAGCTTCATGTTCCTGTCTCTGAAGACCAGAGGGGCATTCAGTGAGCACATTATATGAAAAACTGTGTGTGTGTGTGTGTGTGTGTGTGTGTGTGAGAGAGAGAGAGAGAGAGAGAGAGAGAGAGAGAGAGAGAGAACAAAAGCAGTGACTCAGCCCTAGATCAGCAGGAACATGCAGCCTCCCCAAACGGGGCAACATCAATGTGACAATGTGACTCCAGTCAGGAGACCAGCTGTGCTAGCTCCATTGCTTTCGCTCTGCAGAATGACGAGAGCAATTTGTAGCATCTTCACATTACAAGTAACTGTGAGAAGACAAACACCACGGAGTAAACCACACATTTCCAGGCACTGTTAGAAAAAGATAAAGCACTGTAGGCAGCAAGTGTTTAGAGAATATCAAAAGGTATCTCCTTGTGGAGTTGGCAGTGTAGCTGGTATAGAGCCCGTGCCTGGCATGTAGGAGTGAGGCCCTGGGTTCGAACCCTGGCACCATACACATGGAGAAAAAGATCTTTTATGGATATCTATGGTGTTATTATTTATTATGGAATCTGACAAAAACAAATGTAGTGGTAAGCAAATGATAAAACAAATATAACTATAAATAAAATGAACTTCACAAAATTGTTAATGGCATGAAAAATATTAAGTGATCCCAATTTGTCAGAATATTAATTTATATTTCCATGAACTAAAATGAACTATACTAGATGGGAAGAAAAGTTATTTATTTATTTATTTTTCATTTTTCTTTTATTATTCATATGTGCATACAAGGCTTGGTTCATTTCTCCCCCTTGCCCCCACCCCCTCCCTTACCACCCACTCCACCCCCTCCCGCTCCCCCCCTCAATACCCCGCAGAAACTATTTTGCCCTTATCTCTAATTTTGTTGTAGAGAGAGTATAAGCAATAATAGGAAGGAACAAGGGGTTTTGCTGGTTGAGATAAGGATAGCTATACAGGGCGTTGACTCACATTGATTTCCTGTGCGTGGGTGTTACCTTCTAGGTTAATTGGGAAGAAAAGTTATGATGGGTTAAAATATGTGGTGTGTACATACCTATCAGTACTAACACTTAATGTTAACAGACTTAATTCCCCCATCAAAAGGCACCGTTTGACAAAATGGATTAAAAAGGAAGATCCAACAATTTGTTGCTTACAGGAGACCCATCTCACTGACAGAAATAAGCATAGGCTTAGGATAAAAGGCTGGAAGAAGATTTACCAAGCCAATAGCCCCCGAAAACAGGCAGGAGTAGCAATACTTATCTCTGACAAAGTAGACTTTAAACCTACATTGATCAAACAAGATAAAGAAGGACATTCCATACTAATAAAAGGGGAAACAGACCAAAAGGAAATAACAATTATCAACCTATATGCACCCAATGTCAATGCACCCAATTTCATCAAACATACCCTGAAGGACCTAAAAGCATATATTAACTCCAACACAGTGGTTGTGGGAGACTTTAACACCCCATTATCATCAATAGATAGGTCGTCCAAAAAAAAAAATCAATAAAGAAATCCTAGATCTAAAATATACAATAGATCAAATGGACATACTTGATGTCTACAGAACATTTCATCCAACTTCTACACAATATACATTCTTCTCAGCAGCCCATGGGACCTTCTCCAAAATGGATCATATGCTAGGGCACAAAGCAAGCCTCAGCAAATATAAGAAAATAGAAATTATACCATGCATTCTATCTGATCACAATGCAATAAAACTAGAACTCAACAACAAAAGTAAAGACAAAAAACATGCAAACAGCTGGAAACTGAATAGCTCATTGCTTAATGAACAATGGGTCATTGATGAAATAAAAGAGGAAATTAAAAAGTTCCTGGAAGTCAATGAAAATGAAAACACAACCTACCGGAACCTATGGGACACAGCAAAGGCAATCCTGAAAGGAAAGTTTATAGTCATGAGTGCATATATTAATGCATATATTAAAAAGACTGAAAGATCCCAAATCAATGACCTAATGATACATCTCAAACTCCTAGAAAAACAAGAACAAGCAAATCCCAAAGGAGAGAAATAATAAAAATAAGAGCTGAAATTAATGAAATAGAAACCAAAAAAACCATACAAAGAATTAATGAAACAAAAAGTTGGTTCTTTGAAAAAATAAACAAGATTGATAGACCCCTGGCAAACCTGACTAAAATGAGAGAAAAAAACCCAAATTAGTAGAATCAGGATTGCAAAAGGGGAGATAACAACAAACACCATGGAAGTCCAGGAAATCATCAGAGACTATTTCGAGAACCTATATTCAAATAAATTCGAAAATCTTAAAGAAATGGACAGATTTCTAGATACATACGATCATCCAAAACTGAACCAAGAGGAAATTAATCACCTGAATAGATCTATAAC